GTGCTTTGTGAATACTATAATTAATATTTTAAACTATCATTGTTATTTTGATTTACTATGAAAGATTTTGATTGCTTACTCCAATTTTCTTTACAGTATATTTATTGATTCAAGCAGCCTTTCCCATTTATTTAAAATTCATCAAATTAGACTACACCGTTCAACTACATTCTAACGAGAATTAATAATTAGTGTCGTCGACCGGTGTTGTGTTTTCTCAACAACATAGTTATATATTCATGTAACAATAATGATCAGAATGAGAGCAATATGCTTGTGTTCAGCAAATGAATTGTGGTTACGATGGTAATTAGCATATACCTATTTAGTATGAGATTGACTGAATGATAGTGTTATCAACTAAATGTGCCATGACCTGTAGCTCACCTGTGCAATCACGTGATGAAGTACAATGAAACGAATAATATTAGGCTACATAAATAAATGGTTGCAAGTAAGGATAGATACAAAATATATTTTTGTTGAAGACTTCGATTACCTACTACCATTATCCATACATTACATTTGCATGTTCTGGCAGCTTTCCCCATTTTTGTAAGGTATCAACAAACTAACCCGAACTTTGAACTTACCCGATTTAGAGTAGGTACAAATCCACACATCGTCCGGGCTCACTTCAAAGCTCTGCATTGCTTCCAAACTTGTCCGTGGAACGAACCATGGAAACTTAACACCATCGTACACGTGAGTGTCTGTCCTCCAAGAACCGTCTTCATTGAAAGGATTCATACCAGCAGGTGACGAATATATACGTGTTGAAGCAACAGATTCACGAGGCTTGCCTGTAGACGTAAGTATTCCTGGGCACTGTGAGGGCGCTGTGAAGATTCGTCACTAACAAACACCATCAGGCGTTTCAAGCGGGGGAGTCATCATCTGCGCATGCGTCAGATTGCCATAGCGTGTCATTGTTTACAAACAAGCGTCTGCCCATGAGCTTTTGCATTTTTATCATGTGTTGTTATCGTCGCTTGGGACTCAATTCCAGCGCGTGCGCAAGTAACTACCCTTCCGCTTTAAGAAATCAATTCTGAATACGTCGAACATATTATTGGTACTAAGAGTCAAATACTGCATTTTGTAAACGTTGAAGTTGGTTTACTGTATTTTTTCAGAAAATTGGGCATAGTACAGCATTTCCGCAGTATTCAACGCGATACATTTTCATCATTGAAGGCCGCGCCACAAGAATATGCCATGTAGACCCTCGTTTACTATGAATGTTTCACATATCTGTCAGTATAGATAGAACAAGGTCCTATTATATAACGGTGTTGCAGGTGTTTTAATGTAAAGCATTTTTTGTATGACATGAACTATACAAACTTTTGTTTCCAAAAAAATAAAATCTCATTAAAACTGAAACTCGCCTGAGTCGATATTAGTCACGTCTACGAGCTTCGAACATACTCAACCATCGAAAAAAATAAATTAATGAGGTGGCGTACTCCGAAATATGTTATCCGTTTTTACATGCAGATAATGAATGCCTCAAATTTACCAAAATCTCTGACGACAATTTGTTCATATATAATATTTTGACTACCTGCTGAGTGGCACTTATTCGATTGATCATTTTGATGTTAAAAAGTATTAAGTGGCAGATCTGAATTTGAACATTTTGGTGCAAATATAACCACACGAATTATAGTTTTTAGACACAATTTAGACAAAAAGCCTAATGTCACATATTGTTGAGAACAAGGAAACTAGTCAACGGGTACTGTTAGGACAATAGCGACGATCCGAAAATTATTATTAATATACTACGCATTATACTTAGTGTACACACCGAGGAGTCTGTGGTTTAACTTTACAAACTACATAGATGTATGGGTCATTGCTAGCACTGAGCACTCCTTCGCCTGAACACATTCTCAATCATCCAAACTTGCTTGACCGGTCACTGGTAGCATAGTGGTTGTCGCTCCAGACTCATGACCGGTAGACCCAAGTTCAAATCCTACCTTAGGCTGAACATCAAAGTGTCAACCCCTACCCTGGATGAGTGTGCCACAGACTCAATGGGAAGGCCAATTCCACTGGCCGAGATTCATTCACTGACGAATTCGACTTTGGGGGAACCTTTGTTAAGGTCCGCAGGTGCTTGTGTTCGACCGAGTCTGGTTGACGCCAGGATAGCGCATTAAAATTGCCATTTGACAGAGAGATGGCCACACAGCCCTGTCATGTAGTCCCAAATATGATTATGACTTCTGTGGCAAAATGCACTAGCACTTGCAATTTGTACATACAAAAAAAAGTCAGGAGAGACAACGGTGACACTTAATGTCCAGAATTGTCGCCTGGCACAAAAATGTTTAAAAAAAAACTCACTGTTATATTTCAAGATCATGTTTAATTATACAGGGGTGTTAATTCAGTCCATGTATGGGTATTTAAAGACATCACCGTCATATTAAGTCAAAATTGAAATGATAATCCTGTCCCAACAATGGCCTCATGGTACCATTTATCCATCTCTTCACTCTGTGCTACTGTAAAACTTCCTTTCCACCCACCAACTTTACCTATAACGAGATAAGCAGAGAACAAAGTACAATAATGGATTAGTCAAATCACTGTAGGATATTGTGACGTAATCACGAACACAATAATTTGTTAAAAGTGATCACCTTTTCTCACAAAGGGTGAGTCCTTAGGGTCTATTCCCGCAGCAACACATGCGTGGTCACGTGTCTTTTTTTTCTTCATAGCATCAAACGTACATTGCTGTGCCACGTAGTTAATTTGTTCATCAGTCAGACTCTTTCCAAGAAACTTGCAAACCATCCGAACTGTACCTACCAGATCCTAGCAAGAGTTGTACAATAACCAAAATAATCACATGTAGGAGCAATTTAAACATGTTTAGTTGTTTATAAAGACAATGGTTACAAAATTGAAAAGTAATTTTCAACCGTTACTGCAAACAATGAAATCAAGAATATATTAGTATTATATAAATGAAAAAAAATCGTATTAATATTGTTATATGTACATGGTCGTGAACAAATCATGACGTTTAATGTAATAGAAATATGCAAAATATTACTTTTATCAAAGTTTAGAAATTTGATTTAATTATATGCATTAGCAATTAGCAACATAAATATATAAGCAAAAATAAATAAATAAATAAATAAATAAAGAAGCGCCACCATAACTCAATATTATCAAAACATTTTTAATTGTACTTTAATTCTAATATCATAATTACAGCATTCATTTTAAGTCTTAATTTTATTACCTTTTTCATGTCTTCATATTTTAAAAAGAGTACATTGTTCTCGTCTCGTTTCTTCCACCAGTGAAGTACATGAGCTGGCCATTCACCAAAAATCACTGGGGGCAAAAAACTACTGTTTTCATAAATTGTGTATAACATGGTGTATGATCGTTGTCATTATTGTATACAGGATCAGACTAGATAAAATACCTATAGTATCAATTATGTAGTAGATATATTATGAAATTCAGCCAAGTCAAAATTTAGTTTAGGCAAACTTTTTTTTTTTGGTGTAACTAAAGTTGTATGTACTATGTATTTTATTTTTATTTTGGAATGCAAATAGGGCAAATAAAAATGAGCGAAACCAATTTTATAACCACTATATATGATCCCATAAAAAGTAAGACACTTTGTTTATTAGTTTATAATTAGTTGCAATCACTGTCATTGTATATTTGGTGACTAATATATATATATATATATATAAAATGCCTTAAGGCTTTTGAATACAGTTTTAAATAATACACTCAGAGTTGACTTATATATTGTTTGTACACTTTCTATTATAATATACATTATTACAAATATAATCTAGTATTATACATCTGTCACTGTAACGCCATAAGTTACAGCGTGCCGTAATTTCGTGGTATTTTACGGAGTAATTTCATTCTACTATATAAGGAAATGCGAATTCCAAATATGGAATGATTACGCGCGTAAGCGTCCTCTCATAAAAAAAATGGCTGCCATCAGGGTTTGACCAGAGTCCACACATAAAAGTTCGCTGATTCTGTTCTAAACTTTTGGGATTTCGGCGTTCCAATGATGTATCCTGGGAAGAAAAAGATGTATAATAATAAGGTTATTACGAGAATACCTCAAAGTATGCACTCAGACAGTACACCGTCGCATCGATTGTCTTCGTGCATACTTTGAGGTATCCTCGTAGTAACCTCATATTATACTTTCATATTAACAAAAACAGTGCCTAACTCACTGAAGTATAACTAAAAGCATATATTTATGGAGTTATACTCCCAAAATCCCAAATAATAAAATATTTTATAGATATAATACGTAGTTTCTCCAAGTTTATATAATGTTCACGTTCATGTAAGCCTATATTTGAATTAGCGGGAACTGC